TTTTTCGGTCTTTTTGAGACAGGGTCTCCCTGTAGCCCCAGCTGGCCTGGAACTCACTATGTAGTCCAGGCCGGCCTCCAACTCATAGAGATCCTCCTGCCTCTGCCTCCCAAGTGCTGGGACTAAAGGTGTACGCCACCCACCATGCCAAACTGGCAACAAGCACCTTTATCTGTTCAGTCATCTCACAGGCCCCTTTTCTGCTTTTCCTTGAAAAATTCCTGCCCGGATGTGATGGTAGGAAGGACACAGGTTTGGAGGACATGAAAACCTCCCCTCCTCACCATCTGCATGACCCTGGACGGTGATCAAATGTCCAGCTTGGAGGGCTTAGCATAATAGGCAAAATGAGAATGGAAAGTTCTGGCACCCAGCAGCTGCTCCTCAATGGATCTCACGGCAAGCCTTCTGCAAGGCCACTTACTTGTGCCATTCCTAGTCCCTGGTGCCTGCTTCCGGCCCGCCTTGTGCTCTCTCTTGCACGAGGTCTCTGCTTCCCCCTGCTGGACAAACCTGGTGTTCATGGTTCTGACCAGGGCAAGAGTCACAGAGTACTTATCAGGAAAACTCCCTGCAGGGCTTCCTAGCTAACAGAAATTGGAACCCATAGGCACTCTGGGGAAGGGACTTGCCTAACTCACATAGTACCTTACTGGCAGGGCTGGAACCAGAAACTACAATGTAGGTGCCCCCTACCCATGACTATGCAGTCCTCAGTGAGTCGGATTTGGGAGGGAAAGATGGAGTGAGGGAATCTGCCCATTTTTCAGGTTCTGTGTCAGAGGGCATTCTTTTGGTTCCAAGAGAAAGAGTTCTAAGTTCCTGCCCCAGTTTTGCCAAACTAGCAACTGTTTTTCCTTATCTGATGGAACCTTGGATGCCCCTGCTCACCTTCCTCATTTGGTTACAGGAGCAGCAAATGGCACTGCCTCTAGAGCCATCTAAATGGTAAGGTTGACCTTGTACTCTTGTCTTCTCTCCAGGGTCCCTGGTGGCCACCAGGGGTCAGGACGTGGTCATTGTAGCAGCCCCAGAGAACACCACGGTGGTGTCAGGACAGAGTGTAGTGATGGAGTGTGTAGCCTCCGCTGACCCCACACCTTTTGTGTCCTGGGTCCGACAGGGTGAGTGGAGGACATGAAACAGGGTGGTGTGGTATCTCACAGGTTTCCAAAACAGGGACCTGTACGGTCACCAAACAGGCCGTATGTTGAGGATTGTGTGTGGTAGACAGCAGCAAGGGGGAGGGCTGCATGGGGAACCAAGACAGACATAACCATTCATCTGTGCAGCATGTTTCCTTTGCAAAGTACTCTGGGTTTGCCCCTTAGAAATTCTTACTGGGGACTCTGCTGAGGATAGACCCTGGGTTAGAGTCTGATTCATTTCTGTTCCTCATAGCCTTGCTGCAGGTGAGTGTGTGAGAGCTGGGAGTGTTTCACACAACCCTGCCTCATGGGGAGGGGGGAACATATCCAAAACTTTGGTGTGCTCAGACACTAGTGACGCTAGTACTGTCTTCTTTGCTGTTCTTTGATAGGAGGCAAGAGTGTCACTTGAGAAGAGCTAATTTCATAGTGATGGGCTGGGGATGTGGCTCAGTTACTAGAGTCTTGCCTAACATGAAGCCCTGGGTTCAATCCCCAGCACCACATAAACCTGGTGGCACATGCCTGTAATCTCAGCACTCTAGGTGGAGACAGGAGGCTCAGAAGAAGTTCAAGGTTAACCTAGGCTAGATAAGAAATTTGAGGCCAGCCTTGACTCCAAAAAGATAAAAGAACGGCAGTGCCTTCCTAGCTACTGAGGATGTATTATATGCCTGCTCCACCCACCAGGAGCCCTGGACCTCGTTCTACCCACCTAGCATCTGCCCTTCCAGCTAGGAACTAGCATCTCCTTATGGGCACAGCCTTGGGGTTCAGAGTTATGGGGGCTAGGGCCAGGAACTGAGATTCGAGTCAGGAACCGTGGTGCCACTTTACCTGGGTATAGAGAGAGATCCCTACATCAGCCCTGGCCCCCGGCTCCAGCCTGCTCCCCTCTCCCTCCCCAGACGGGAAGCCCATCTCCACCGATGTCATAGTCCTGGGCCGTACCAATCTACTCATCGCCAGCGCGCAGCCGTGGCACTCCGGCATCTACGTCTGCCGGGCCAACAAGCCCCGCACGCGGGACTTCGCCACCGCTGCTGCAGAGCTCCGGGTCCTGGGTGAGACTCAGGACCAGGACCAGGGAGCTGGTGTCGGGAGGTGGAACTGGAGCCCGGCACTGGGGCCCAGGGAGACTAGTCAGGGAAAAGGGGCGATCCCAGAGGATGCTACCCTGAGAAGGAGGAAATGGGGGATTGGACTCTGGTTGGGGAGTTGAGTCAAAAGTGGAGGAGAGGGGTGATTAAGACCTGGACTGAGTAATTGAGGGGCGAAGAGTGGGAGTAAGTTCGAGGTGAGCCTGAGCTACAGAGTGAGAGTTTCTCAAAACAAACTGGGGGGAAAAAAAAAACAAAAAAAACAAAAACAAAAAAAACCCCCCACACATCAGCCAACCGTAGTCAGACCTCGGTAGGTGGAGGCTGGAGATCTAGAGTTCACAGTCAGCTGGGCCACATGAGACCATATCGCAATATAACACAACATAAACTACAACAACAATAAAAAACCTGGGGGGCCAGACTTGCTGAGGGCCGGGGTAACTGGGCGGCATGAGAGAAGGAGGTGGGTCCCTGGAGGGAATGCAGAGCCAGAAACCCGGAGATGGAGATTCACAGGGGAGGTCGCGGAGCACTGTGCAACCCCAAGTGGGGCAGGCAGGCTCTGGGCTGGATAGAGGAGAGGACGTCGGAGGGGAGGGTGGGGATTGGAGGGTGGTGTTGGGACACGCGGGAAGGAGTGGATCTGGAGCCCAACATCTTGTTTCCGCCCCAGCGGCTCCTGCCATCTCGCAGGCGCCCGAGGCGCTCTCGCGGACCCGGGCCAGCACCGCACGCTTCGTGTGTCGTGCGTCAGGGGAGCCACGGCCCGCGCTGCGCTGGCTGCACAACGGGGCACCGCTGCGGCCCAACGGGCGCGTCAAGGTCCAGGGCGGCGGCGGCAGCTTGGTCATCACGCAGATCGGCCTGCAGGACGCCGGCTTCTACCAGTGTGTGGCGGAGAACAGCGCAGGCACCGCGTGTGCAGCTGCGCCGCTGTCGGTAGTGGTGCGCGAGGGGCTGCCCAGCGCCCCAACTCGGGTCACCGCCACACCTCTGAGCAGCTCGGCTGTTTTGGTGGCCTGGGAGCGGCCTGAGCTGCACAGCGAACAAATCATTGGCTTCTCCCTCCACTACCAAAAGGCACGGGGTATGTCTACTCAAGATCCAAGGTGCTCCAGCTTAAGAGGACTTTGAGGGGAGCAGGTTGGATGACTGAAGGGTTGCCTAGTGCAGACTTTTGGAGGGATGGGGTGGGAATGGGGTTGGAGATAGACATCATGCTGGAATTAATACAGTTGGAAGACTAGACTAAGGCAAGATTGTTCATACTCTTCAGGTCATCTGGGGGTGATTTAGCCATTATGATGCCTAGCTGTACTCCAGCTAGCCAGGTCTAGGGTGGCCCTGTGACAGTCTCTTGATCCCCTGTGCCACCACCCCAGGTGTGGACAATGTGGAGTACCAGTTTGCAGTGAACAATGACACCACAGAGCTGCAAGTTCGGGACCTGGAACCCAACACAGACTATGAGTTCTACGTGGTGGCCTACTCCCAACTGGGGGCTAGCCGCACCTCCAGCCCAGCCCTGGTGCATACTTTGGATGATGGTAGGGCCTCTGAACCTGTAGTGGGCAGCCTGGGGCCCAGAGACTTCCCTGATGACAGTGACTCCCTTCTCATTAGTGTACCCCAAGGCCCCAAGGGAAAACCTGCCTGGTGATATCTTTTGTGCCCTGTGAAGAAATAGACAGGGCTTCTTCCCATTGTAAAGTTGGGGGAAAATGAGACCCAGAAAATGAAAGTGACTTGCCTAAGGAGAGTACTTGGACTGGGATTTGAACCCAGATCTTATGAGTGCCCATATCACACACATAACCCCTCTTCCTGATACCCATGTAACATCCAGCCATTGGCTGGAGAAACTGATGGCCCACACTGTCCACTAGCCTCCGGGCAGAAAGGATATATCCTCATCCTTCAGCTTGGGGCTCCCCTGAGAGGCTCCCTTTCCTCCCTCAGATCCTGGGCCTGGGCCTACTTCTGATTTGCTGTGTGACCTGGGCAAGTCTCTGACCACCACTCCTCACCTCACCTCCCACGTCGGTGGAGCAGAGCTCACTCCGATGTTCTTCTGTCTCAGTCCCCAGTGCAGCACCCCAGCTTGCCCTGTCCAGCCCTAACCCTTCGGACATCAGGGTGGCATGGCTGCCCCTGCCCCCCAGCCTGAGCAACGGACAGGTGGTGAAGTACAAGATAGAGTTCAGTTTGGGAAGGGAAGGTGAGTGGGGCTGGAACAATGGGGACTTGTCAGTGGGAAGGGGGTTGCCCCAGCAGATGGGAGAGTCTGTGAGAATGAGACAGTATATGGGGAAAGCAAAGTCTGGATAAGAGCAACTGGAGATAGGGAGATAGCTCAATGGGTAAAGTGTGTGTGTAAGCCCAAGGACCTGAGTTCAAGCCCTAGACCTCACATGAAAAACAACAACAAAACCCTGGCATGGTGGTGCCTACTTGTAATCTCAGCACCGAAGAGGCAGAGACAGGGGGAACCCTTGGGTTCACTGAGTTAAATTGATATGTTCCAAGCCAGTGAGAGATGGCTCAGTAGTTAAGAGCACTGGGAGCTCTTGCAGAGGACCTGGGTTCAATTCCCAGTGCCCACATGGTGGCCAACAACCATCCATAACTCCAGTTCCAGGGATCTGACACCCTCTTTTGACCTCCACAGGCATTGCACACACATGGTGCATTTATATACATGCAGGCAAAATACCCATGCACATAAGATAAAAATTAATTAAAAAATAGATGAGAGGTGGGAGGTCAAAGTTCTGCTTGTGGGCCTGGGGGAAAAAATGGGGCATGAGATGGGCTTGCTGGGGTGATACAGGTAGTCTGGGGGAGGCAGTATGGTTCTTAAAGGGATAGAGAAAAGTAAAGTGGCTGGGACTGGAAGAGGCTGAAGAAAAGAAGGCAGGGCAGGAGGCAGACTGGGCACCAATTGGGGCTCCCAAGACCAGGTGCTGCTGATGGCCCTTCAGGCCAGCCTTCAACCTTGCACTCTGGGTGTGTACTCATGATTGTTGACAATGCGAGGGAGAGAGAGAGAATGAGAATGTAGTGATCTCTCCATGCTGAGCCAAGGCAAATGGGCTGCATCAGCTGGAGCTGGAGTCTCCAAAGTCAACCTACACTCCTGGATCTCACCCGGATGCTGAGGGGGTGAGGTAGGGCAGAAGATCTTGGGATCTGAAGTGGAAGAGTCAGTGTAGCAAGTTTAGAGATCTTGGCCCCCAATGGAGACCCAGCAGCCCATCTTTTCTGTCCTAGAAGACCAGGTTTTCTCCACTGAAGTACCAGGAAATGAGACCCAGCTTACGTTAAATTTGCTTCAACCGAACAAGGTTTACCAAGTCCGAATTTCGGCTGGCACTGGCGCCGGCTATGGGACCCCCTCCCAGTGGATGCAGCACAGGACACCTGGTGCGCACAACCAGAGCCATGGTATGGAGCTGCAGGGACAGGATGGGATAGTAGGTGTGGTTGGGTGGTGTGGGTATTTTATACCCTTGAAGCCAGAATCCACCCCTGCCCCATCACAGACAGATCCATTGTGCCCCCATATACTTGATGCATTGGGAAGGCAGAGGCGCTCCCTGCTGTTTTCTGCAAGCCCAGCAGACCCTCGTATGCTTAGCATGCTGTATTATAGCCACCTTGTGGTGGAGCAGCTTTGGAAAAGCTCTGGTAGAACTCTCACTACTCCTATCGCCAACCATCCCCCAACCTCCCTGGCCTCTTCACTCACCATCTCTAATTCCTGTCCCCTTCATCCTTCTATGCCCCCAGTCCCCTTTGCCCCTGCAGAGTTGAAGGTGCGGGCAAAGACGGAGTCCCTGGTGGTGTCATGGCAACCGCCCCCTCACCCCACCCAGATCTCTGGCTACAAATTGTACTGGCGTGAAGTGGGGGCAGAGGAGGAGGCTGATATTGACCGTCCTCCTGGCGGCCGCGGAGACCAGGCTTGGGATGTAGGGCCGGTCCGGCTCAAGAAGAAAGTGAAGCAGTATGAGCTGACCCAGCTAGGTGAGCAGGCCTGGGCAAGGGAAGATGGTGAGCCTGACAAGTCGAAATCTGGGGTTCCAGAAGGAGTGTGGGGAGCGGGGGGTATAGTGATCACAGATGTCCCTCAAACCCTGAGTGACTCCTGTGGCCTTCCCCAGTTCCTGGACGATTGTACGAGGTAAAGCTTGTGGCATTCAACAAACACGAGGATGGCTACGCGGCAGTGTGGAAGGGCAAGACAGAGAAGGCACCCACGCCAGGTGAGGGGTGGAGGGAGGGGCCTGAGAGAGCCTGGCTCCCCTTACCACCCAACTGCCAGCTTGGCAGTCCACCACCTCCAAGCTCATCCTGCTGGGCCTGAGTCCTCTTCCATCCTCCTGCAGAGAAGCCCCACTGCTTTCAAACATGCAGCCTCATTCTCCAACTGAGCAGAACTAATGTGGAAACTCCAGGTTGATGCTATGATTCCTGACTCCAAGTTTGAGTTTGAGACAGTTTTTAAACATATCCACCTGTACCACAGGGACCCATCAGATTATCCCACAACTCTAGGCAGAAAGAGTATCTCTCTGTGATTTACTGGTGATGTTCAACCCACTGCCCAACATAAAACTGTTAACTTAAAACATATAAGATTTGTGTTTGTGGGACTCAACTATGAAGTTCTCCAGCATGAACTTTGTAGATGATGACACCATTCTGCAATGTCAAAAGACTTAGGGGCTGGCTGAGGTTTGGCACACACTTTTAATCCCAGCACCCAGGAGGCAGATGGATCTCTGTGAGTTCAAGGCCAGCCAAGGCTATATAGTGAGATTCTGTCTAAAGCCACATGGGAATCCAGATTAGGACCAGGAGCCCTGGTTCCTCAGTAAGGGTTTGCACTGTGCTGTGATACCTAGTGGTCCTGCTTGGTCACTTCAGTGATCCATACTGACACTTTTACCACTCCCTAACCTCAGGCTGATTTTTCAACCAGGTAATTTAGCAGGAAAAGCATTCAATCAAAAGCCAAGAAACCTAGGTTCTAATTCCAGTTTGTTCATTTATTCATTCAGCAAATATTTTACTGACTACCACGTGCCAGCTCTGTTCTGGAAATTTAGTGATGAACAACATGAATAAGGTACCTGCTCTCATGAAGTTTATTTTATTTTATGTTTATATAAAAAACATTTGTCATCAAACAATACACACTGTATACCAAACACTTTCCTAGCTTCTTTATAAGTATTAACTAATTTAATCCTCGTAAGTACCCCATGAGCGGGCCAGTGAGATGGCTCAGTGGGTAAAGGTGCTGGCCACAAGCCTGACTACCTGAGTTCAATCCCCAGGATCCATATGGTAGAAGTAGAGAACTGACTCCTGCAAACTGAACTCTGACCTCCACATGTGTGTAATGATACACCTCCTCCCCCACAAGAAATAAATGGGGGTAGCAGAGGTGGCTCAGCAGTCAAGTGTACTTGCTGTTCTTCCAGGGGACCTGAGCTCAGTTCCCAGAACAGCACCCACTTATAAGTCCAGCTTCAGGGAATCCAACGCCCTCTTCTGGCCTCCTTAGGAACCCTCACACATGACACAAATAATAATTTTAAAAATCTTGAAATACAGTGGGGCTAGAAAGATGGCTCAATGGTTAAGAGCACTGGCTGCTCTTCCAGGGAACCCAGGTTCAGTTCCCAGCACCCAGATGGTGGCCAATAAGGCCAATAAGATTCCAGTTCCAGGGGCACTGTTACCCTCTTCTGACCTCCATGGTCATTGCACATACAGGTACATTTGGATACATGCAGACAAACAATCATACACATAAAAAAAATAAATAAAGGGCTGGAGAGATGGCTCAGCGGTTAAGAGCACTGGCTGATCTTGCAGAGGACCCACATGGTGGCTAACAACTGTCTGAAACTCCAGTTCCAGGGGATCCAGCGGCCCTCTTCTGTCCTCCTCAGGCACTGCACAAAACAAGTGCACTTATATACATGCAGGCATAACACTCATACACATAAAATAAATCAATTAATTAAAAAATATAGTAAGAAAAGAAAACCTGGTAAGCTAGCTACCATCAGCAGATCCACACACAGAATAGGAAATGGAGGCACAGCTACCTTAAAAGACTTCTCCAAAGTCACACAGCTATTAAGTAGCAGAGCTGGGATTTGACCCACGGTGGCCTGGTTTCAGAGTCATGGCATGCTGCCTGTGCCACATAGTCACCAGTGATTCACAGACCTCTGTATGTGTAACTTTGGCAAAAATCACTTCAACTCTTGAGAGTCCCAGTTGCAGTATCAGTGAAATGGGAATAATGCCACTCAACTCACAGGATCAAAAGAGCAGGCCAGCACCAGTCATGGTGTCACACAGTACCAGGGAGGCAGAAGCAAGAGGATCGAGAGTTGGAGGCCAGCCTGGTCTAGTACATAATGAGACCATGTCTCAACCATGTGTCGGGGAGGGCAAAGAGAGAACGTTAGGAACTATGCACATCCTTCCCCTCTCCCCACACTCTGGTTTTCCCTTCTAGACCTGCCTATCCAGAGAGGGCCACCTCTACCTCCTGCTCACGTCCATGCTGAGTCAAACAGCTCCACCTCCATTTGGCTTCGGTGGAAGAAGCCAGACTTCACCACCGTCAAGATTGTCAACTACACTGTACGTTTCGGACCCTGGGGGCTCAGGAATGCCTCCCTGGTCACATACTACACCAGGTATAAGCAAGGGGCTAATGTTGAAGGAAGGTGGGGGGACATCAGAGGTGACAGAACAGGGCCCCAGGGGCTCAGCTCTTAGAAGGGCATGTCTGAGATCTGCACAGGGGTCTCTTCCTTGCCTGCTGACCAAAGGGTAACAGTGAAAGACTCCTTTGGTCCCATCTCCTCATGACAGGCTCTTTGAAAAGAGCGGCACAGGACTGACCTGTTACTCTAAACTCAGTCTCCAATCTGCTGGGGAGAGTCCTGCGCTCCTGTTGTGAAGGAGATGGCCCTTGGAGCTGCTAGTTTGACTTGAGAAAATGCTCAGTAAAAGGCAACAGAGATACAAACTAAGCCAAGGAAAAGATGCCTCAGAGGTGACTGGTTGGCTCCTCGGGGGTACAGAATAACTTGAATTAATCCAGAAAGGCTTCCTGGAAGGTGGGGTGGAGGAGGGTCTATCTTGGAGATTAGACATGAAACAGCATATATCAGTCCTCTTCATAGGTCACCTGGCTGTATGTGTGTTTGTGTTAGTAGCCCCAAGGAGCAGCTCCCCTGAGGGTGGGAACAGGGGCTTAGGTGTGGGGTTCTGCCCAGCTTGGAGCATGCCTGAAGGTGCTAGCCCACTCCCTGCCCTGGCAGCTCTGGAGAAGATATCCTCATTGGCGGGCTGAAGCCATTCACCAAGTACGAGTTTGCCGTGCAGTCCCATGGCGTGGACATGGATGGGCCTTTTGGCTCTGTGGTGGAACGTTCCACCTTGCCTGACCGTGAGTGTCCACTGCCCCCCACCATGTGCCACTAGCAGGCAGCCCTCCCTTTTGAAGCACCCCTCAGAACCCTGAGGTTCCAGAAATTCCCCCAAACAGGACCAGACCTCCTCTTTGCTTGTTCCAGTTGAAAAGGAAGAAGGGAAGACCATGCCCTCATCCCCTGACTCCCAGACACCCCTAGTTGGGGATCTCTGTGTCTCTGACTCCTCACCCCCTCCCCTGTACTGTAGGGCCCTCCACTCCTCCTTCTGACCTGCGTCTGAGCCCCCTGACACCATCCACTGTCCGGCTGCACTGGTGTCCCCCCACAGAACCTAATGGCGAGATTGTGGAATATCTGATCCTCTATAGTGACAACCACACTCAACCGGAGCACCAGTGGACGCTGCTCACCACAGAGGGTGAGAACACCCACCATCAAGACTTTAGGCAAGAGTATGCCAGGACTCCTTGCCCTCCCACCCTCTTAGGTGGCTGAGTTAATCATGAGAGTCTTCTGGGGGCTTCTTGACGGGGAGGCAGAAGCTCCTGTCTTATGGCAAAGCTGGCTCACCAGCTCTGCCTCTGGCCTTCTGCCCATCACCCTGCTCTCTGCTTCTGCCCCAGGAAACATCTTCAGCGCAGAGGTACATGGCCTGGAGAGTGACACTCGGTACTTCTTTAAGATGGGGGCTCGCACAGAGGTGGGACCTGGGCCCTTCTCCCACCTGCAGGATGTGATCACTCTCCAGGAGACACTCTCAGGTACGAGGCAGGAGGAAGGAGGTCCTTAGGGAAACCTGGGGTCCAAGCACACCTGGATGAAGGGCTCCCAAGGCCCTGCCACTGGATACTGTACTTTTGTGACTTTGGGTCTTGGCCCTCCAGACTTGGCAGAGACAGGACACATTTGAAGGGAGAATGTGGGGTGGAACAGTGGCAGCTTGGTGGACAGGTCAGCTCAGCAGAGGCAGTTTCTATTATTTATTTATTTACACCTGAGGAGGACAGAAGACAACTTTCAGGAGTTTGTTCTAGAGAGAGGGACAGTTTCTTGGGGAAGATTGCTTTGACTAGAGGATTAGCTTGGTGAAGTGACTAGCTCTATAAAGGGGTATGTGTGTAGCAGGACTTGCTACATAACTTGCAGGGTTCATCTGGGATGCAAAATGAGAGTTCGGGGCCCTTTATTGAAAAATTATTATAAGGGCTGGGTATGGTGCCACATACCTCTAATCCCAGCACTTGGGAGGCAAAGGCAGGTGGGTTTCTGTTTGCTCAAGGTCAGCCTGGTCTACACATAGAGTTCCGGGTCAGCTGGGGCTACTGGAAGACCCTGTCTCAAAAAAAACTTAAAAAGGGGCTGGAGAGGTGACTCTGCAGTTAAGAGCACTGGGTAGTCTTGCAGAGGACTAGGGTTTGATTCCCAGCACCCAAGGAAGGAAGGAAGGAAGGAAGGAAGGAAGGAAGGAAGGAAGGAAGGAAGGAAGGAAGGAAGGGGAAAGAAAGAGAAAGGAAAGAAAGAAAAGGCTGGGTGAGGTGGTCCATGGCTCACACCTTCAATGTCAGCATTCAGGAGGCAGAGGCAGAGGCAGAGGCAGGCAGATCTCTACAAGAGACTAGCCTGGTCTAGACTGTGAATTTTAGGCCAGCCAAGGTTACATAGTGAGACCCTATCTTTTATTTAAAAAAAAAAGAAGAGTGATTAAGGAAGACACTTGATGTGGACCTCTGACCTCCATAGGACACACACACATATGTACATATATAACATGCATGGAGCCCGTCTAGGTATAGGCCCTGCATAGCTGCATGTTATACACTGTGAAAACAGCCCTGATGGCAGGTGGAGGTGTGCTTCACTGAAAAGCTGTTTCTATAAAGGCAGGTTTTGTGATGATAGACAATATGGATGTATTGCACAGGGAGGACCGTGATGGGAATAGTATGGAGCCCCATGGGGCCTTTTATCCTCCAATCAGAAAACAGTGATTGTTTCCAAAGGGCCAAGCAGAGGCTAGCCATCTTCTGTGGAAGCACCCTACCATCTGAATCTAGGACCACTGTGCCCTTCTGTCCTTGAACTGTCCTTCCCCCCCCTCCCACAGACTCCTTGGATGTGCACTCCGTCACGGGCATCATCGTGGGTGTCTGCCTGGGCCTTCTCTGCCTTCTGGCCTGCATGTGTGCTGGACTTCGACGAAGCCCCCACAGGTGGGCCAGGGAGCCAGTGTAACTGAGAGAGGTTTCCAGAAAGGGTTACAGAGTGGACAAAGGAGAGAACATGAACCCTGCCAGCCCCGGCCCCGGCCGGCCATGCAGCCTCATTAAAGTTAGGGCTATGGGGAGGCTGATAGAGCATTTGCCTAGCTTGTATGTGGCCTTGGGTTCCATCCTCAGCACCACAAAGATAAGATGATTATTTATTAGAATTTCGAGATGAACAACTGGGTTGATTTTCTCATAGGCGTGCAGAATGGACTTAGGAAGTCCCAGTCTCCCCATCTCAGCCAGGATAGGCAGAGCCAGCCTGTGAACTTCCTTCGTAGTTGCCAGCAACTTGGAAAGAGCCCTCACATCTCCATGTGTGGAGCCAAGAAAGGAATGGAGTGTTTTGTGGGGTCAGGCTGATTGGACGATAGTCCTCTTCTACTAGTTGCACACACTGGAAAACCAAGTCCACTCCCCACTCTGACCCTGACCTTGTTCCCATCATCCCTTGCAGGGAATCCCTCCCAGGTCTGTCCTCCACAGCCACCTCTGGGAACCCAGCACTGTACTCCAGAGCCCGGTTGGGCCCCCCGAGTCTCCCTGCTGCCCATGAGCTGGAGTCCCTCGTGCATCCCCACCCTCAGGACTGGTCCCTGTCACCCTCAGATGTGGAGGACAAGGCTGAGGTGCACAGCCTTATGGGTGGCAGTGTTTCAGACTGCCGAGGCCACTCCAAGAGAAAGGTGAGTCTGGAGTCTGGGTAGGTCAGAGCCACACATAGGGTCCCATTCCCAAATGAGACACCAGGAGGCACCAGAGCACAACTTGTGACTGTGAGACACACCTGGTCTCGGGCCAGCTGTCAGAAAGAAGCCTGTTCCTTTCTCCATCCCCTCAGAGTAACCAGCCTCATTCTCATCTGGGAGGGCCCCAGTGATGTGTTTGCTCAAAGCACTCTGGTCCCTCCTTGCTTCCCTAATATGGAGAGAAGAGGCTAGTTACCTTGGCTATGGTCAAATGGGACCGGGACCAGGATAAGGTGAGGCCCCTGTGGGACAGGTCCCCTAAGTGCTGCAGTGGTCCCACACCCTGTCCAAGTGTTAGTGTTATTCAGTCCTCCTGTCCCTCCCTCTGCCTTTGTGATAAGGAAGAGTTCCCTAGACTTGGAAGCCTCTGGCTTTGTACAGCATCTTGTATCAGGCTTGTGACTCTGCCCTTCCGGTGCTCCCCACCACCCCTTCGCCTTAGCAGGGAACCTGTTTGGAGATAGCAGGGGTCCAAGAGTCTGAGTACTACTTTCCTGCCCCCTGTTTACTTCCCCCTCCCAGCCCAGCTCTGTATGCCCCTAATGTCCCCTTCTTTCTTCTATATAGATCTCCTGGGCTCAGCCAAGTGGACCGAGCTGGGCAGGCTCCTGGGCAAGCTGTGAGCTGCCCCAGGGATGTTCCAGGCCTGCTCTGACCCATGCCCTGCTGCCTCCAGCTGGAACTGGGCAGACATTATTGCTCCAGGCGCTGGTGTATGATGCTATAAAGGTCTGTGATCTAATAGGAGGTAGAAGATGGGGAGGCAGAAGGAAAGGGTCCCTGTGCTGTGAAGAGAAAAGATTGAGCTCTCTGGAGATATGTGGGTGGGAACTTTTCCAGGGAAAGGACTCCTGGGGACAGCATTGTATTCAAGAGACCCTGGAGCCTCCAAGGGTGACTGGGTAACAGACAGGACAGTTTAGATACAGTTCCTTCTGTACCCAGACCTAAGTAGCCCACTGTAGAATTATGGTGAATCTGAGGGTGGCCTGACCCCCATACATCCAGCCCCCCCTGCTATTTGTAGAGATACTGACTGTGTCTGATACTTTCTGGAAGCCTGGTTAAGGGCAAATGAATGACATTCCATATTTTCCTGCCTTTGCTGGGGTATGAGCATTGACTTTAATGCGACAGTGCTTGTCACACATATGATGGGAGAGTTAACCTCTCTTTACCCCACATATGTTGATCATTTTTTCTGATGATGGCTCAGTGATGCTCATCTAGTCTTTTGTTCTCTGCTCTATCAGGAAAATGGGAGGAAGAAGCCTCCCCCAGCCTGTAGGAACCAGGTGGAGGCCGAGGTCATTGTCCACTCCAATTTCGGTGCATCCAAAGGGAGCCCTGACCTCCATCTCCAAGGCCTGGAACCTGAGCCTGAAGAGCCCTTGCCTGCAGAGACTCTGGCTCCCACCTCTGGGGTTGTGGATATGTCACAAGGGGGAGACTGGCTGGGCAGGGAGCTGGAAGGGTGTGAGCAGGAATCCCCTGGGCCAGATAGGCTCACCTGCCTACCAGAGGCAGCCAGTGCTTCCTGCCCTTGCCCAAACCTCCAGCCCAGCAAGGCTCTTGAGGAGGCCCCTGGGAACAGCCAACCCAAAGCCCTGTGCCCTCAAAGCAGTTAGCCCAAGCCTGCCCAGGGCCCCTGTCTCCTCCTCTCCTCCACTCTCCTGAGCAGAAGGTATACTTTGAGGCAGGTTCTTATGGCCCACAGGACATCATGACATGCATGGCCACACATATACATGTGTGTATTGCAGATATCAACAAGCTCTTTGGCACCTCTTAAGATGCTTTGGCTAGGAGGAGAAGAACTTTACTCACTCCCCTATATTCTGTGACATGTTTGTGATACAGAAAAGACATGAGACACAGCTCTGTATGGACACGTGTGAAGTCATGTGTATATACTGGTTAGTGAGCTGGGAAACATTACCCCTCTTATGTAGTGGTCAGTGTGGTCTAATTGATCATCCAGGACAGGACAGTGTGCCCAGTGATCAGTGCCAGCCCTGAGGGCCACACCTTTGTCACCCAGCCTTTATTACACACTCTAAGAGTGTCTCTAATGCCCTGTCTACAAAGACAGTCCCAGCCCCTCTGCTCTTGGCTAGGCTGAGCCGAGTGCCATTCGATCCTGCAGGCCTAATGTTGTAACTTGCAGCGACATGGCCTTCATCCCCAGGCCTTCTAAGGCTCAGCTCCCCTCTCCTTCACGCAACTCTGCACCTGATTGTAATTTGGGAAGTGCCTGGTTTGAGAAATCTGCTTTCTCTCCCTGTCCCCTCTTCTGTCTCCCTTACTGCTCTAGTGATGTGTCTTTTCACCTGGCTCCCCTGGTTCTGGGTCACTTCTCCTCCCCCTGATATCTTTCCTTCCCTCACTTCCGTTTCCCCTTCTCTCCAGCTCTCTTCTGTCTCTCTTGCCTGTCACTGTATCCTTTGCTTCTCCTCCCTGAGTTCAACCTATGCATCCTTCCCTAACAACATGACTACCTCATGGCGTTTCAGGCCATAGTGTGACCCTGTGTCCCTACTACTTCTCTGCCAACCCCCTCCCTGGACAGATGGCCCACTCTAGAAAGGATTAGAAAAGACCCTCTAGATTCCCTGGAGGGTTTTCCAGGGAACTGATGAATCCAGACTGCACTGGGGAATTTTGAGAAGGGGAAAGGGACTGAAACCCTGAGGGTTGGAATAAAGTGACTGCCTCCCTCCTGCACAAGAAAGCAGGTTTGCACTACACCATCTCCAGGCCTGGCTGAAGTTAAAGAGGGTGAGGGGAGTGGAGTTAGGGGAGCCGTGGCCCAGATCCTTACCCCTTGAGCTTTGAACCTGACTGGATCTGAGGTAGGAAGAGTCTCCTCCAAGATACTAGAAGGGAGGTCTTTGCTCAAGAAAAAAAAGAATGACTGGCTCATTTTGTTTTGTTTTCCTTTAAATTGAATCCAAAATCATCTTCTGTTGACTTTCCACACAGGGACAAGCTTGCCTTGTATTTCCTGTGTCGTGAAAGACATGTCAGCTGTTTGATTTCTTATCTCAGCCCTCAGCCCTCTTCCAGGAGCATAGAATGTGGGGTATTTGCTGCCTCACAATGCATTTTAACTGATCGGCACATTAAGCGTTAACTCTGGCATCTAGGCCAAATTAGAAATAACCAGGCTATCTTCTATACCCCCCCCTCGGTCTCTCTCGGTGAAATGTCTTTCAGCAGAGTTGCAGCCTCCTCAGCCCTTGAAAGCATCTGTGTTTATTACCCTCGGGTGTCACTCATATTTGACACCTCACCTACATTTCCCCCTCCTCAGCCAGCCTATGATAACACTAAAGATTATTAATGTCGGTTTCATATCTCGTTAAAGGCAAGATTGTCACTTGTACTACTTCTGTAGTGTTCAGTGTGGCCACAGCCAACACCACTTGTGTATGTTTTGTCATTTCTCTGAAGGTCAAAAGCTTCATTTTATTTTGCTGGTTTGATTTTTTTTTTTTAGAAAAAAAAAATCTGCTTTGAATGAAATAGCCATTTTAACAGTAGGCTCTTAGCATTACACCACATAGTCATTTTTCATGTTCTTGTTTAACAGGCACTGAGGTTCTGGTTTAAATTAAATAACTGCAAATGAGACAATTTATAACCCATTAGGTTGGGTGGAAAATTGTTTCTCAAAAGCAAATAAGTAATAAATCTGATATCTGCCTATAACTCACAGTTGATAAGAGAGTAGCCATTACTCAACTAGTGTTATATATGATTTGGGCTCTGAGTAATTGGGAAGTGTTAGGTTCGTGTCTTTGTAGCTGCGGTTTTTATTAGAAAGGAGTCTATTGGCCTTTTACAGGGTATTAATCCCTTTGTCACCTACCATGGATGCCTTAAGCTCTTTTGAGTCTCATTTAAAAATCTTCCTTTTCTTGATGCATGACACATGTACTCAATGCTTACTTGCTCATTTAATTGTCTATGCTTAGTTTATGCTGTATTATTTATATTTTTCCAGCATCTTTTCTCCTCCATACAAATATGATATTCTTTAGCGTTACACTAAGGCATTGATCATGTATCTGTCCCTGTAATGAATTAATAAACTATTTTCCAGATGTGTTGTACCTTTTTTTCAACTTAAAAAAGAATATTTTTATTTATGTGTATGTGTGTGTGTGTGTGTGTGTGTGTGTGTGTGAACATGAGTTTATGTGTGCCACATGCATGCATGTGCTCATGGAGATCAGAAGAGGGTGTCAGATCTTCAGGATCTGGAGTTACACAAAGTTGTTAGTCGCCTGATGTGAGTGCTGGGAACTGAACTTGGGTCCTCTACAAAAGCAGTAAGAGCTCTTCTTAACTGCTGAGCCATCTCTCCAGCCCCAGGACATGTTTTTTTGTTGTTGTTGTTTTTTTTGCTTTTTTTTTTATCAAGCCAATGACTAGAGTTTCCTTAGTCATCCCCTCATGGGGCATTTATTTTTTACTGGGATGGGAAATGGTAGGTTTTGAGGTTAAAGAGCAGATAGTCACCCAAGGAGGGAAAAAAAAAAGAATCCTCTTCCCCCCCTAGTAGGCACTTAAGAAATAAACTTCCATTTATAGACTGGAGAGATGGCTCCATAAAAGCATTTGTTGCAGCAGGGCATGGTGGCACATGCCTTTAATCCCAGCACTTGGGAGGCGGAGGCAGGTAGATCTCCGTGAGTTCAAGGCCAGCCTGGTCTACATAGTGAGTTCCAGGACAGCTGGCACTACAGGGAGACCCTGTCTCAAAAAAAAACAAAAACAAACATTTGCTGCACACTTATGAGGATAGAATAAACCCATGTAACAAGCTGGGCATCCTGTGCATGCCTGTAACCCCAATTCAAAAGAGGGCAGAGAGAGGAGGATTGCTGAAATTTGCTGGTTTCCAGCCTAGTCAAGAAAACTGGAGCCGCTGGTTCAGGTAGAGACTCTGCCTTAAAGAAATAGGTGGAGAGTGATAGAAGACACCCAACACCCTCTCTGGACTCTGTACATGTACACAGTGCACATATATATACTCAGACACATTCACATATAAATAAATATATAAATAAATCTTATAAAACATTTGGAAATGTAATTGTGCTTACCCATCACATATAATGCCCGGCCCAGGATTTGATCCCCAGTGCCTCAAACAAACAAGTACACCACACATGGGGAAGATTGGGTTCATTACTCTGAATGAGACATCCTTCAACGATGGCACTTGAGTTCTCTGGGGAATCTTCATCTGACTACATACTTCTCTGGGGTACAAGGAAACGGTTGTGGGCTCCAGTCTGGTTATTCAATTATTTGAGACTGCACATCCACACACTTAGGCACTGTGGCTATAGTCCAGGGGTGTCTAACTTTTTGACATTGCAACATGACATTGTGGTCTGCAAACACAAAGGGCTGCTGCATTCATAGCTCTTCTGCTAGTTGCAGGTTGGACACTCTTGCTATGTATACTCTTAGATTCATACATGCATACTCATCTTCAATAAATACGCTGGTATCCATCAACTCTATTGTGCATACAATCTCACAAAACTCCACACTCATTCCCCACACACATCTCAGGATTGCAATCAACAGCTGCCCTTTCCTGAGAACTTTAAGGGGCCTAGACTGTATTTTTCCACTGGAAGGAACCATGAACCAGAGGCTGCCATGCCCAGGACCACCCCCATAGTGGCTGGTGAGCCAGACCCAGAGTTAATTGACAGATCATACAGAGAGATACTGCATGTTTTGCGTGCAGCAGAATAGCCATTATTTGCATATCACTTTCAGACCAAGTGTTGTGATAAAGAAGAATTAAACACTTGTCAAGATGAATTTAAAATGACAGCAATTCAGGACACCAATTTGACCTCTCTGGAGTCCAGGACATGCCAAGAAGGGGTTGCTGATGATTCAAGGCCTGCAGGAGGGCGTTCCAGGACTTGAGGCTCCAGGGAGGCCCCTCCTTTACTACCTTTCCTACTGCCTTAGAGGCCTCACTCCTGCCCTTACTCAGTGAAATCATCTGAGGCCACAGCAGACTGGGGTTTCTGATCTTGAATTTCTCCACTGCCTCCCACTGCTCACAAGCCTCCGGGCTTGTGTCTTGGCCTCATCTTCCAGTTGCTACTACAGTGCTGAGTCCCTGCGCTGTGCAAACCCTAGCATTAGAAGACTTGTCTGCCTATTGGCATCTGGTTTTTGGAGGCCTGGACTATTTTTTTAAATATTTTATTTATTATTTTTATTTTATGTGTATGAGTGTATTGCCCGCATGTATGTGAATGCACCCATGTCATGCAATGCTGTGGAGGTCTTCGGATTCCCCTGGAACTGGAGTTAAGGACAGTTCACAGCAGCCATATGGGTGTTAGGAATTGAACTCAGGTCCTCTGCAAAAGCAGTCAGTGCTCTTAACCGCTGAGCCATCTCTCCAGGCCCTTGACTATTTTTTTTAATCAAAAAAATTTTATAGTTATTTATCGTGTGTGTGTGTGTGTGTGTGTGTGTGTGTGTGTGTGTTCATATGCATGCCACAGCCTGAGTATGGAGGCCAACAGACAACTTGTGGGCGTCATTCTCTTCTTCTACTATGTGGGTCCCAGGGATGGAGCTCAGCTGGTCAGGCTTGGCAGCAGATGCCCTTACCTGCTGAGCCATCATGACAGTCTGAGGCCTGCACTTCTTCACTGAACTGTACCAAGCTAGTTTTATATATGGTTAACACTCCTGTCCCAATTCCAGAGTTATATCAAAAGAGAGACTTAGGGGCCTGTAAAGATGGTTCAGTAGTTAAGAGTCCTTGCTGCTCTTCCAGAGGACCTAAGTTCTGTTCCCAGCACCCAGGTTGGGCAGCTCACAACAGCCCAAAACTGCAGCTCTAGGGATCCAACATCCTCTTCTGGTCTCCCAGGGCACCTGCACTCATGTGCATATACCCACACACAGACAAACACAGACACACATAAATAAAAATAATAAAAATAAATCTTGAAAGAGAGACTTAGGGGTCTGGAGAGATGACTCAGCAGTTAAGAGCACTGGCTGTTCATGCAGAAAATGGGGTTCGAATCCCAGCATCCACATTGCAGTTAACAACTGTCCATAACTCCAGTTCCAGGGGATCTGACACCCTCTTCTGACCTCCACAGGCATTGCACAACATGGGTGTACCAACAAACTTGTAAGCATATATAATAAAAATAATAAATAAAATATTTTCTTTTGGTCTTTTTGAGACAGGGTCTCCCTATAGCCTTGGCTGGCCTTGAACTCACAGAGATCCTTCTGCCTCTGCCTCCCAAGTGCTGGGATTAAAGGTGGGCGCCACCACACCTGGCAATAAATAAATATACAAAAAGAAAGAAAGTGAGACTTAGGCCCAGCATGGTGGCACTCACATGTAATCCCAGTATCTGGGAGGTGGAGGCAGGAGGATCAAGGAGTTCAAGGTCAATCTCTGCTACACAGTGAGCTTGAAGCCAGGCTGGGCTACTTGAGAACCTGTTAAGAGGTCCTCAGATGAGCATATCAGGTGAGCAAAGGCTGTTTGAAGAAGACACTGACACCTTTAAATCTCCAGGAATTGGTAGATGCTTTATAATTTTGATAGTAACGTCATTGCATACAATAGTGAAAGGCAAAGATTGAAGATGCCCCAGCGACATACATGTCTCCTGAAAGACTCTCAAATAGAACCTCTATTGCCATTTTTTTTTCTTTTTTTTCTTTTTTTTTTTTTTTGGTCTTTTTGAGACAGGGTTTCCCTGTAGCCCCAGCTAGCCTGGAATTTACTATGTAGACCAAACTCGATCTCACAGAGAACTGCCTTCTTATATGTCAGAAACCTATGGCATAGAGATGGCAATGGCATCTCTACTTTCCCATTACCAGGTCATTTGCCCAAGACTTGTGCTTGTAAAGGTCTGCAAAGTTGGGGAGAGTTCTTTTGTCTTCAGTTTTCAGATCAACTCAAAGAATGACTGCCAGGGGTGCTTGGGCAGGGCAGCAGGCAGGACCGGAGTGGGAGTAGGAGTTACTTTGGGATCTTATTATTGTACTTTGGAGAGCTCCTCTTCCCAGGCCACAACTCCTCAGTCTAGATAGGCCAGTTTTACAGCTACTCGACCCATCCTTTGAATGGATGGACCAAGAACCTAGAGAATGCCGAATCTCTGACAACTTTGAGCCGCTTTTAGGGAATTAAAACAGACTTGGACATTGTGCAAGAGGGAACCGCAGAAAGAGTGGGAGAGAGCAAATCCCTCAGTTCTGCGTGTTTCTCCGCAGCCGGGACCCACTCCACAGTGGTCTCCACTTCCCTCCTCGAGTCTGACCGGTCGCGAGGAGGAGGGGTTACTCTGCTGCTGCCCAAGACCTTGCGGGCCGCTCCGGCTCCAGTTCAAAGCGCAGGGGGCGCGTCCGCCGCGCAGCCGGGAATGTCCGGCCGCTTAAAGCGTTCTCCGGCTCTTTTGTTCCTCAGACCCGGCCTCCGGGGAGAGGGGGCTGG